GACTTCTCTTATTTGTGGACCAAGTCCAGCCCCAATATGTCGCTAAGGATGTATTAAGTACAAACACCCAACATCTAAAGGCAAAGACATTAATGGGTTACCCTTCATTGCCCTATGACATTCTTTGAAAAAGTCTTGATGAACACATATGTCACTCAAATCCCTGCTACCTCCTCCTAGGGCTGCATTTCCTTTGTTGTTCTCTTGCATTGCTCCTTTTGACTTGTCTTATCCATCCTATCACATCCGCTCTTCAACACCTGGCATACAGCACCTCCCTGCAGCATCGGTAAATATTCTTGTCCACAGTCACCTGGCCATATTCTCATTGATCAACACCTAAGTCACCTCCCAACCAAACAAGCTCCAGGAACACAGGGACCTCATCTATGGGGGAGGAACTCAGCAAGTCATTTTCAGTGACTGAAAATTCATCAGAGCGAGCCCAGGTTCCGTGTTTCAGTCTATGTTTAGCAGCAGCATTGAGCTGTTTCCGAGGTTTCTCATAATTATACACAGGAAATAACTTTCTGTGGCTTATTTCTCTCAGCACCCTGTAGTGCTATCATGCATGACGGGATGAAAACGTGAAACTGTTCATTTCACTACAGACTAGTAAGTATGCTCAAGTAAGCCCGTGTGTGCCTTGCTTATTGGGTAATCTGGCCCTGGCCATACTCACCACTGTCTGTCGGCCTGTTATACTGTGGTGGCTTGTGTATTGCTGTGATGCTGGAAGCTATGCCACTGGTACTTCAAATGCCAGCAGGGTCACCCATGGTGGACAGCTTTCGGCGGAGCTTCCAGACTAAGACATACAAGGAAGAAAGGCCTAGTAATCTACTTCTCAAAATTAGCCAGTGAAAACCCTATGGATCAGAACAGAATATTATCAGACTGGATCAAACACGCCAATGATCGCGAAGATGGTGCAGGACTGGGCAATGTTTCATTCTGTTACGCATAACGTCACCATGAGTTGGAGTGGACTCAGCGGCAGCTAGCAACCCAACAGCAGTCACCATACAGAGGGTGTACCTTTTTCAAAGCTGATGTTTTAGGAATACATTTCACCTAAGCAGTTCTGTCTCCCAGTATAAAATGTCTTCTTAGCATCTGATGTCTCTTTTAAGCTTACTAAATTGTTCGCTTTTGCTTCCAAAATCAGTTAACCAGTTGCTGTCAAGTTGATTCCAACCCATGGCAGCCTCACATATATCAGAGTAGATCTGCACTCCATAGGGTTTCTGGTGGCTGATTTTTTGGAAGCAGACCACCAGACTTTTCTTCCAAGGCACCTCGGGGTGAACTCAACCTCCAACCTTTTGCTAAGCAGCTGAGTGTGTTAACCATTTGTATCACCAAGGGACCCTGCTTCCAAAGACAGTACCTAGTAAATATGGCTTTAGAAACTTTCCTGTGGTTGTTAGGTGCCGTTGAGTCAGTTCCAACTCACTATTTACACTATTTACACCAGAACGAAACACTGCGCCATCCTCACAATTGTTGTTATGCTTGAGCCCATTTGTTGCAGCCACTGTGTCAATCCATCTGATTAAGTGTCTTCCTCTTTTTTGCTGACCCTGTATTTTGCCAAGCATGATGGCCTTCTCCAGGGACTAATCCCTCGTGATAACATGTCCAAAGTATGTGAGACAAAGTTTCGCCATCCTTGCTTCTAAGGAGCATCCTGGCCGTACTTCTTCTAAGACAGATTTGTTCATTCTTCTGGCGGTCCACGGTATATTCAGTTTTCTTCACCAGCACCACAATTCAAAGGTGTCAATTCTTCAGTCCTTCTTATTCATTGTCCAGCTTTTATATGCACAGGAGGTGACTGAAAATATCATGGCTTGGGTCAGGTGCACCTTAGTCTTCAAGGCGACATCTTTGTTTTTGAACAATTTAAACAGATCTTTTGCAGCAGATTTGCTCAGTGCAATGCGTCTTTTGATTTCATGACTGCTGCTTCCATGGGTGTTGATTGTGGAGTCATGTAAAATGAAATCCTTGACAACTTCAATCTTTTCTCCGTTTATCATGATGTTACTTATTGGTACAGTTGTGAGGATTTTTGTTTTCTTTATGTTGAGGTGTAAACCATACTGAAGGCTGTGGTCTTTGATCTTCATCAGTAAGTGCTTCAAGTCCTCTTTAATTTCAGCAAGCAAGGTTGTGTCATCTGCATAATGCAGGCTGTTAATGAGTCTTCCTCCAATCCTGATTCCCCATTCTTCTTCATATAATCCAGTTTCTCGGATTATAATCCAGTTTCTCGGATTATTTGCTCAGCATACAGACTAAATAAGTATGGTGAAGGGATGCAACCCTGACACACACCTTTCCTGAGTTTAAACCACGCAGTATCCCCTTGTTCAGTTAGAATGACTGCCTCTTGATCTATGTACAATTTCCTCATGAGCACAATTAAGTGTTCTGGAATTCCCATTCTTTGTAATGTTATCCATAATTTGTTATGATCCACACAGTCAAATGCCTTTGCATAGTCAATAAAACACAGGTAAACATCTTTCTGGTATTCTCTGCTTTCAGCCAGGATCCATCTGACATCAGCAATGATATCCCTGATTCCATGCCCTTTTCTGAATCCAGCTTGAATTCCTGGAAGTTTCCTGTCGACATACTGCTACAGCCGCTTTTGAATGGTCTTCTGCAAAATTGTACTTACGTTTGATATTAATGATATTGTTCAATAATTTCCATATTCAGTTGGATCACCTTTCTTGGGAATAGGCATAAATATGGATCTCTTCCAGTGGGTTGGCCAGGTATCTGTCTTCCAAATTTCTTGGCATAGATGAGTGAGCACTTCCAGCGCTGCATCTGTTTGTTGAAATATCTCAACTGATATTCGGTCAATTCCTGGAGCCTTGCTTTTTGCCAATGCCTTCAAGACAGCTTGGATCTCTTCCTTCGGTACCATCAGTTCCTGATCATATGCTAGCTCCTGAAATGGTGGAACGTCGACCAGTTCTTTTTGGAAAAATTACTCTGTGTATTCCTCCCATCTTCTTTTGATGCCTCCTGCATCGTTTAATATTTTCCCTGTAGAATCCTTCAATATTGCAACTAGAGGCTTGAATTTTTTCTTCAGTTCTTTCAGCTTGAGAAATGCCAAGCGTGTTCTTCCCATTTGGTTTTCTAACTCCAGGTCTTTGCACAAGTCATTATAATACTTTATCTTCTCGAGCTGCCCTTTGAAATCTTCTGTTCAGCTCTCTTACCTCATCATTTCTTCCTTTTGCTTTAGCTACTCAACATTCAAGAGCAAGTTTCAGAGTCTCTTCTGACATCCATTTGGGTCTTCTTTCTTTCCTGTCTTTTTAATGACCTCTTGGTTTCTTCATGTATGATGTCCTTGATGTCATTCCACAACTCATCTGGTCTTCAGTCATTAGTGATCAACCTGTCGAATCTATTCTTGAGATGGCCTCTAAATTCAGGTAGGATATACTCAAGGTCATACTTTGGCTCTCCTGGATTTGTTCTAATTTTCTTCAGTTTCAACTTGACCTTACATATGAGCAATTGATGGTCCATTCCACAGTTGGCCCCTGGCCTTGTTCTGACTGACGATATTGAGCTTTTCCATCATCTCTTTCCACAGATACAGTCAATTTGATTCCTGTGTATTCCATCTGGCCAGGTCCATGTGTATAGTCACCGTTTATGTTGTTGAAAAAAGGTATTTGCAATGAAGAGGTCATTGGTCTTGCAAAATTCTATCATGTGATCTTCAGCATTGTTTTTATCACCAAGGCCGTATTTTCCAACTACTGTTCCTTCTTTGCTTCCAAGTTTCGCATTCCAAACACCAGTAATTATCAATACAAACTGATTGCATGTTTGATCAATTTCAGATGCAGAAGCTGGTAAAAATCTTTAATTTCTTCATCTTTGGCCTTAGTGGTTGGTGCATAACTTTGAATATTAGTCATATTAACTGTTCTTCCTTGTAGGCATATGGATATTATCCTATCACTGACAGTGTTGTACTTCAGGACAGATCTTGAAATGTTCTTTTTGACAATGAATGCAATGCCATTCCTCTCCAAGTTGTCATTCCTGGCACAGTAGACCATATGATTGTCCGATTCAAAATGGCCAATGCCCGTCCATTTCAGTTCCTTAATGCCTAGGATATCGCTGTTTACGCGTTCCATTTCATTTTTGATGATTTCCAATTTTCCTAGATTCATACTTCATACATTCCACGTTCCAATTATTAATGGATGTCTGCAGCTGTTTCTTCTCAATTTGAGTCATGCCATCTCAGCAAATGAAGGTCCTGAAAGCTTGACTCCATGCACATCATTAAGGTTGACTCTACTTTGAGGAGGCAGCTCTTCCCTAGTTGTATTTTGAGGGCCTTCTAACCTGAGGGGCTCATCTTCCGGCACTATATTAGACAATGTTCTGCTGCTATTCATAAGTTTTTCACTGGCTAATTCTTTTCAAAAGTAGATCAGCAGGTCTTTCTTCCTAGTCTGTCTTAGTCTGGAAGCTCAGCTGAAACCTGTCCACCACGGGTGACCCTGCTGGTATTTGAATACTGTTGGCACAGCTTCCAGTGTCACAGCAACATGTAAGCCCCCACAGTACTACAGACAGACACGTCAGTTTGAGTCTAGAAACTTTAGATACTTTAAAATATTTTTAGACTTTAGCAGCTGGGTCACTCTGGATTATTTCACAGGTGAGGCAGCTGAGACCTGGAGGACCAGGCATGGCTGAGCAACCCGAGGCTGCATCTTCGTCCCTAACATGGGGTGGTTAGTGGTACTCACTTGAGGATGGTATGGGGACTAATTGAGTGAGCATCTGTACAGCACTTACATCCTCCTCCTCTCCTTCCTCCTCATTGTCGTAAGCATCAAAATCAAACAGCCCATCATGGTAGAGCTGACACCAGAGACCCCTGCTCCTACTGCTGCAGGGATACTGCAAAGCTGTCCTGTGGACAAGCACATGGGACATACCTTTGATGACGGGCTTCGCACCGATGCTCTGAACGCTGTAGACAGCATTTGACAGCGGCACCTCTGGGATCAGCTCGGCAAGCAGGTACCCGGAATACCAGGCGCACAGGGAGGCGAAGAAGAGGAACAGCACCTTAAAAGTGCCTGGGGACAAACAGCAAGACATTGACTTGGCTTTGCCAGTGACAAGTCAGGCAACCCCCATCCTGCCATGCTCCTAATTCACGCCCCAGCCATTCATCTTGAGCCACATCCCGGGTTCCCATGTCAGTAGAATTGCTCTAAGGGGGAGGTACTCCAGCTGATGCAGTTTCCTGGGGCGGTGATGGGGGGAGAAGGGGAGGGGTAGAATGTAAGGGCAGAGAAGCTGGACTATATAGAAAAAGTACACGGCATCAGGATTGGAAGAAGACTCATTAACAACCTGCGATATGTAGATGACACAACCTTGCTCACAGAAAGGGAAGAGGACTTGAAAAATTTATTGATGAAGCTCAAAGACTACAGCCTTCAGTGTGGATTACACCTGAATGTAAAGAAAATGAAAATCCTATCCTCAAAACTGGACCGATAAACGTCAAGATGAACGGTGAAGAACCTGAAGTTGTCAAGGATTTCATTCTACTTGCATCAACGATCAATGCCCATGGAAGCAGCAGTTAAGACATCAAACAACACATTGCATTTGGCAAATCTGCTGCAAAAGACCTCTGTGAAGTTCTAAAAAGCAAAGATGTCACTTTGATGATGACTAAGGTACACCTGACCCAAGCCATGGTCTTTTCAATCGCCTCATGTGTATGAGGAAGCTGGACAATGAAAAAGGAAGACCAAAGGTAAGGGCACAAGCTGCTTAATGGACCCATGCATGATGAAGTAGTTGGCTTTGCACTGGTAGGCATTTGAAGCAGACAGCAGCAGAGAACATAAAGGAGACATAATGTTCTCAAGGCCAAGTTTTTACAATTGCTGTTGCTTTGGGTTTAGGGCTTCCTAAAACCCAGGTAGTGTAGTGGTTAAATGCTACAGCTGCTAACCAAAAGGATGGCAGTTTGAATCCACCAGGCACTCCGTGGAAACTCTATGGGGCAGTTCTACTCTGTCCTATAGGGTTGCTATGAGTCAGAATCAACTCAACGGCAATAGGTTTGGTTGGTTTGGGTACATGTTAATGTAACGATTCTTCCAAGCAGCCTTGTGAATCAATGCACCCATTGCAGACCTAAAATTCAAAAGCCACTCATTCCCTTTTTGAGACACACCTTATTTGAATATGTGCCTGGAACCAGATTGTACCCTCTGGTGGGCAGAGGACTTGTCTGGCTGCTTAGTGCTACATAACCTGTGCTTAGAACAGTGCGTGACGCCAGGGAACACGTGATGGGTTCTTGCTGGATGCACTGGCAGAAATTCCCCCAACCCACCTTCAGAATTAGAGACAAGCCCACGGGGCACCCAGGGTCCCCGATGGCATAAAGTCCCTAGGAACATCTTTCGGGTAGATTTACTCCAATATCTCACCTCTCCCAGAGGCTAAAAGATTTTACAAATGGTAAGGAAAGGGCCCTCACTAACTCCTAGGTAACCAGAAGCCTAATAATTACTCCTTGCCCTTCACAGCAACTCATCACCAGGTGGTTATGGTCTTACCCCCTAAATAGCTCACGGAGCAGAACTCATTCAGCCATTCACTAACCAAATCTGAAAAAATGCTGAGGGGCCATCCATGCCCTGCACAAATAGATGGTGTGAATTTATCCATCAGCAACAGTGCTCTCATAGCTCTAGTCTTAAGAAAAAAGAAAGGACAGAAGGAGGAAAGAAAAAAGGAGAAAAGGAAGAAAAGGATAAATGGAAGGAAGGATGGATGGAAGGAAGGGAGGGAGGGAAAGAAAAATAAATCTGTCTCGCCCCACCCCGCTCCAGCAGCCTCATTTCCACCTTCTCCTGCAACCTCCAGGTCTCACTTCCCCTTTTGCTTCTACCCCATGGCTCCCTGCTTGCTGGGCGGGTCAGGGTTCCCAAAGACCTCCCTGCTGCCAGTCCCAGGCCCCTGCCCTCATCCTCCCTGGTGACACGTGAGGGAGGCCCCAGCCTACTCTGGGGGTGTTCGTGCCCAGAGCTCAGCTCCAGCATCTTCTCAGAACCCCAGGATCAGCTCACCTAGACCTCTGAGTTCCTGAATCAGATGTCCAATCACCTATCTGATGTCAACGCCTGGATGCCTCACAAAGCCTCAGACTTCATAGGCCCCAGATTAAACTCTTGATTCCCCTGACTCCCCAGACCTGGTCCTCCTCCATGTCTTAGCAACCTCAATGGATGGGGTTAGCTGCTAGATATCTGGAAGTTTCCTTGATTACACACTCAGATGAGGCAGGGAGGGAGAGAGGGAAGGAAGAGAGAGTGAAGGTGCCAGGAAGAGACGAAGGGAGGAAGGAATCCCTCAGCCTGTCCTGTTGAGTCTCCCTCCAAAACTCACCTCCGTAGACTTCTCTTCATCTCCATGGCCTCCACCATCACCAGCCACCACCAACTCAGCTACTGCCTCCCAACCCTTCTTTGGCTGGCACTGACTATCTGGAACCCACAGCCAGGTGTGGTCCCTATGCAGGGTTTAGGCTTACCATAGGAATCTTTCCCTCTATGCTGAGCCCTGAGCAGAGATGAGCTTCCCCCATGTCTTGGGCCAGCAGACATTTCTCCTGGCTTCACTTTCCTAGGTTTGAAGGGATGGTCCTACCTTTCCAGTGCACCAGCACATGGCTCCCTTACTGTCCCCAGTGGGGGGTGAAACCCAAGCATCTGTCTAGCAATGCCCTCTCACCCTTACACCCGCCCCACCCCACCCCCACCAACCTGCCAGTGCTCAGCTATGGATTCCAGGCCCTCTTCATTCCTAGCACTGAGAGAGTTCCTGTTCTTTCTCGTGAATGCAGCTCTTTAAGGACTAATCCACTGGTTGTATTTTATCAAGTTCTCTGGATGGTGCAGACAGTCATTGCTCTCAGCTGCTAATCGAAAGGTTAGAGGCTCGAGTCCACCCAGAGGTGCCCTGGAAGAAAGTCCTGGCAATCTACTTCCAAAAAAACCAGCCACTGCAAACCCTACGGAGCACAGCTTCTGCTCTGACACACATAGGTTGCCATGAGTCAGAGTCGACTTGACAGCAGCTGGTTGGGAGGCATTGGTGGTTCAATAGCAGCACTCTCGCCTTTCATGCAGGAGACCTGGGTTCGATTTCCAGCTAATGCACCTCATGCACAGCCACCACCTGTCGGTCAGTGCAGGCTTGCAAATATGTGTTGCTATGATGCTGTACAGTTTCAGCAGAGCTTCCAGACTAAGAAAGACTAGGAAGAAAGGCCTAGCAATCTACTTCCGAAAAGTCAACCATTGAAAACCCTATCGAGCACAGCTCTACTCTGACATGGATGGGGTCACCACGAGTCAGAGTTGACTTGACAGCAACTGGATTTTAAGTGCTGGTGGCAGGAGGGCAACTCGCCGGCTTTGTTAGTCCTGTTCCCTTGGGATTTTGATTTTTTTAAATGTATACTTCAACAACCATATACATATTCTCTTTTACAAACTGTACAGTCCCTAAGAGTGTTGAGACATTAGGCAGGGATAGCTTTCTCTTTTGAAATGCTTCAGAGAACATTGCCATTACAGTCTCTGGGACTGAATGACTTCTCAGAGCTGGATGAACCAGCCACAGAACACACGATTAGACAGCAGTGAGCTTAGCACTTCCGTCTCTCCTGCTGTTCCTCCATTTGCTCTGTGCTTGCCACTTGCTGTTCTGAACTCTTAGAGATGCCATTTTCCCCTGCAACGCCCCTCTGTATGAGTTAGTCCCTCTGCCTGGCCTGCCCTCCCCTCCAGACCCCTGGCGATCTCCCTCTCCTTCTTCCTGGCTCTCCCAGAACAGCAGGTGGCCCACCTTTGTGCAGCTTAATGCTGCAGCCTGCACAGGTACGTCAGCACTTCGCCCACAGCCTGGTCAGTGCACAGGTAGGGCGTCTCTGCCCTCCAGGTCTGTGCCTGCAGCCGTAAGACTGTGAATGGGTACATGATGTTTCAGAAAGTTCCACTGGATGAACCTGAGCGATTGTACCCTGAGGTATTGTAGTATCTCAGGTTTAAAGGCAACAACGGTCTACTGTTTTCTGTGTCTCTCAGGACACAGCTGTGCTACTTCACTCAATTCCAAGCGTCACATTTTAAGAAGAAAATTGGCAAACCAGAGAATGTTCTAGAAACCGTGTCACACATGAGATCTCTGAGCAAAGAGCTGCTGTATAGTTTGGAGAAGACGGAAAAGAAACACAATGCTACCTTTCAGATGTCTAAAGAACAGACAGAAGGGAGACAAGATTTTCTCCACCGTCGAACAAGGACAAATGGGTGGAAGTGACAGGGAAGAAAATGAAGAATGAATAAAAAGCAAAGACATCTGTATGAGGAGAGCTATAAGCCATGGGTTGATCCGCTGTCTTAGTTACCTAGTGCTGCTGTAACAGAAATACCACAAGTGGGTGGCTTTAATGAACGGAAATTTATTTTTTCACAATTTAGGAGTCTTGAAGTCTGAATTCAGGACACTGGCTCTAGAAGACTCTCTCTGTCCACTCTGGAGCAAAATCCATGTCTCTCTCAGGTTCTTTTCCTTGGTTCCTTGATACTCTCCGCATGGCGTCAATCTTTCCCCACTGCTGTTTTCTTACTTCTGTGACTAATCCAATCTTTTTTATATCCTATAAGTGATAGTTTAAGATACACCCTACACTGATACAGCCTCATTAACATAAAAAGAAAACTCTATTGCCAAGTTGGATTATATCTACAAATATAGGGAATAGGATTTACAACACACAATTCACTCCATAACATCTGCCTAGTGAGCCAGTAAGTAAATAAAAAGACACATTGCATTGGGCAAATCTGCCGCAAAAGACCTCTTTAAAGTGTTAAAAAGCAAAGACAGAGACTTCTGGGCAACATGGCGCTATAGACAGAAGCAACACCCAGTCCCTCCAAGGCAAAGATCTGAAAAACTAAGTCAAACAGAGACAAACGTCAATCCTGAAACTCTAAGCATCAAATGAAGAGATAAAGAACTCAGCCAAGCACTAAATGGAATAAGAAACTGACAGAGAACAGAGAATGAGAAGAGATACTTGCCTATCTCTATCAGCTAACGCAGCACGGATC